CATTAAAAATCTTGCAGTTCAAAAACCTTTGACTGGGAGTGTAGGCTGATTCTTCTTATAGATTGAAACGTGCATTAACCAGGATAACGAGTATGAAACATGCTCTGAGTTGCTTCAGAAAACAAAAAAATAGAGCAACAACAAAAGTCATGTTGCTGTGAGAGCGGTGGAACTAGCGGTTTCTCCAGTAACAGCTGTAAACAAAGCAGCTCCGCTCATGAACGCTTCTTTATCAGATAAAAATGCCATCTAAACTATTCTGAAGACAGTCGGTTCCCTTCAGAGATACATTCATATAAAACACCCGCGATGCGTTTTGATTTTGAAACGTGCAGTGCTCATGTTTATTCAAACGCCACAAATAAATCAATGTATGGGAAACACTGATAATGTATATCGAAATATCGGAAATGTGTTTAAAAATCATATCACCGTTATTGAAAAAAATTATATCGCGGTACATATTGATATTGAATTATTGTCCAGCCCTACCTCAAATCATGCAGCACTATTAGAAACATCTAATCTAATACATTAACTAATGTTAAGGGATTGAAGCTTATTGTTAAGTGTTACCATTTAGTTTTTCTGATCATTTCCACCCTCTCTCTGACCCTTAAAGTTATAATAAGTTTGGGATTAAATAGTTGGATCTTGAAGACTACATGCAGATGACCTCTGCTGTGGTTGGCTGGCCTCCACATACTGGCCAAATGCTGAAAACAATAACTTTTTGAACTCTCTTATTTAAAGCAAAGAGCAAGTTAAGTCCTGTTTTTCATTATAAATTCTCTTGAAACACTTTTGTTGCATCATTGTGTTTCATTTTTAATCCCTATTGCACTCTAGACCACAATCTGGACTGTCAAAACAGTCAAACCCTTATTATCAGAAAATTACCTGTTGGTCACCAAATTATTACAGTGGTGTACTACAGTCACATGTCCGAGGCTTTGTCAACTACTCAGGGAGAATTTTAAACAGATGTGAATACAGTTTGAGTTACGACAAGTCAGACGGCCAAAAGTTGGCAAATCCAGCAGGAGACATCATGCAGGCTGATGAAGGTTCTGGAAGAGTTCCTTTAAAATGAGCATGTGTGTCCACACATTTTATTTTCGCAGCTTTTGCAGTTCCAGTCAGCCGGTCTCTTCACCATGGGCACCACTGCCAGACCCTGTGCCCAGTTCCACCACAGTCTCTCTGAGAAGCACATGCGTAAGGTACTACAGCTTGACAGAGTCCTATGGCATTGATTTGCAAGTGTTTGTGTCTTCTATACATTCAGCAATAGATATATATGAAACTCTTTTTCCTGTTCTCCTATAGAGGGGAAGCAGGCGTCGTGTGATACGCAGGGACAGCTCTCTGCGGATTGAGCTCGGGGAGCTCAACTCTGAGTTGGACCTGGACATTATAAGCCGACTGGAGGACATCCTGCAAGCCCTGAGGCACTGTCCAGCGCCGCCTCAAAGAAACACTGCACAGGCTGCAGAGGTCACTAGACTCTCCTGATCAAAAACAACAACATAATACCCCTACCTCAATTTTTTTTTAAACCTTACACAATAAAATCATTTGTAATGTAAGGTCTAATCCTCTCTCTTTTTCTCTGCAGTCTCATTTGTTGGAGCTCCATTCTTCTCTCCTGCTTCAATCTCCTTATGCCGTGGTGAAGGTCCGTTTCCCCATCCCTGACCTTCGACCCCCGGGGCTGAGGCGGCCCCTGAGCCAGCGTGCAGTGCGCAGTGAGATCTTGAGCCTGCAGATCTCTAATCTGGAGCTGAAGTCTCAGCAGGGGCCAGACATTCAGCAGGACGGCCCCTGCAGCCCAGGGGCCAAACTCACCAAACTACTGGAGGCCTGTTTCACTGATATGCACGGTGAGGCATCCAAAGATCAAAATTAGCATTTATTTTTCTCAGTTACCATATATGCTAGCGTTCAAAAGTTTGATGTCAGTAAGATTTTTTTTTTTTAGAAATGAATACAGCAAGGACATATTCAGTTAATCAACAGTGAAAGTTTAGAATGTTACAAAAGATTTCTGTTTCAAAGAAATGCTGTTCTTAATGTTACTTAATATTCATCAAGGAATTATGTTAAAATGCGTCCACAAAAATATTAAGCAGCACAATTGTTTCAACAATGATAATAATTAAAAATATTTCTTAAGTAGCAAATCAGCATATTGGAATGATTTCTGAAGGATCATGGGACACTGAAGACTGGAGTGATGATGCTGAAAATACAGCTTTGCATCACAGGAATGAATTACATTTTAAAGTATATTCAAATATGAAACAGTTATTTTTCATTTGTAACCATTGAGAGTATTACTGTGTACACTATTACCCTAAACTTTTGTATGGTATTGAGTTTGTGTATGTTTATATATATATATATGTATATACAGTATATTAACATATGAGATCATGAAATTAAATTCCAATTCACATTTTTTTATAAATATTATACATTTTAAAGTATATTCAAATATGAAACAGTTATTTTTCATTTGTAACCATTGAGAGTATTACTGTGTACACTATTACCCTAAACTTTTGTATGGTATTGAGTTTGTGTATGTTTATATATATATATGTATATACAGTATATTAACATATGAGATCATGAAATTAAATTCCAATTCACATTTTTTTATAAATATTGCTATTCAGTGCACATTATTGTAAAGGGAAAAAACATTTTCGAAATATTTCATCAAAATGTAATAATCATATAATTTTTTTGTTTTTGATATAACCAAAGCAATTTTGTATATTGTTGCAGTTATAATAAAATATTAGAAATAATATATCAGCTATGATAGTTCTCCCAAAAATGAATATTTAGTCATCATTTATTCACTCTCATGTTGTTCCAAACCTGAATGAATCTTTCTTCTGCTGAACACAAAAGAACATATTTTGCTTAATGTTGGCAACCAAACAGTTGCTGGTAGCCATTGACTTTTCTTTTCCATATTATAGAAGTCCGTGGCTAACCAGCAACCATTTGGTTGCCAACATTCCTCAAAATAGCTTCTTTACTATCTGTTTAGTAATAATAAAAAGATTCGAGCAAATCCTGATGAATAAAATAAAAAATATTTTCAGCAGTTTCTATTAAATTCTGTTTCTGTTTCAGTCTGTTTGGATTCATCTTAAGGTCTAGTGTTCAGGATACAGTGGGAATTTCACTCTAAACTCACCTGGAGTGTGAATGTGTGTTTTAGGAGTGTATGAGGGCTGGGAGGGAGAGGCATTTCCCTGTATCCGTGTGCAAAAGAGTGCAGATCCTGATGGCATTCCCAGGTGAGTTAGTGAGCGTATGTGTGTCTGAGATTTAGCTTGGAGTACAAAACAATGTGTTATACAAATCTTCAGTTGGATAAAAACAGCGAATCTTGGGAAAGCATTTGTAGTTCCCTCTGGTTTCCATCTGTAGGATTCAGGTGCGAGTGAATGAAGGAGCAGGCTCTGACTGTACGGGTGTTTGTGAAGGGGTGAACAGGGATCTGGGGCTGGGCTCCATGTCTCTAGAGAACCCCTGTGAACTTCGAGAGAAGAACAGCTCTCCTTTCTCCTCCAACCGCACTATGTTTGAGACCGAAGAGGTGCGTCCACTCCGCCCGTCTGCCTGTCTGCCTTTCATTCCTGAACTTGACTCATTCTCTGTCTCTGTCTCAGATGGTGATCCCAGCAGACCCAGAGGAGATGGATGAGTTTCAGACTCAGTGTATATGTCAGTGTCAGTATGTGGTTGATATCACGTTTCCTGTAGCCTACATTCTCCTGCCCAGTAAAGAGGCTTTTCTGAGCATCTATAACAGGTACTGCTCAACACTTCATGAGAATGAAATTTTAAAAACTTATCTCCAAGCATTGGTTTTTAAATCCTCATTTCAGTATAAATGATAATTTCACATTATATGCATGTTGTGTTGTGTATAAAATTAATGTTTGTTTTTTTTGGCAAGACAGCCATAAAATAAAATGATAAAGTAAAGCCATGTTTGACTGATGTCAAGCTCCACTGTCTGTTTCTCCCCAGGATTAATAATGATCTGTTGATGTGGGAATCTCCTCCACCTCCTCCGTCCCCTCCTCCTGCTCCTCCTCCTTCTTTTCAAAGTTCTCGTAGTCCCTCCCACCAGCACAGACCTGAGGAGAATGAATTTTACCTCTGTAAATCTGCCTTCAGGCTGGGTCAGTCATGCTCAACTGTTTCATACTTTAAGTTCTAAACATTTTGACTTGTTTTGTATACTATTTTTGTATTTATTAATATTTTGCACTTGCTGTTGCTTTTATATTTTCAGTCTTAATTTTAATTGTCGTTTAAGTGTTGTTATTTCTATTAGTTTTTTTTTCTGTATGGCTTTAATTCATTTTTGTTTTAGTTTCAGCTTAAATTAATTTGATTTAAATTGGTTGCTAAGGCAAGTTTTTCCATCTGATATTTTTATTTTATTTTATTGTTTTATTTTTTTAGCTAACAGCAACCATACTGTGTTGGCTTCAGTTAAAGATTCTTAATCTTTTCACTCATCATTCCAGAATCTGACTCTGAGGAGGAGGAGCCTCAGTTCTTCTCAGCCAAGCAATCAAAAAGAAGGAAACCGTTAGAGCCTCAGTCCAGCCACGCCCTCAGTCTGCTCTGTTTAACGGTGCTGATTGGCAAAGGTCGCCTCCAAGCCATGACAGACTGCAAGGTAAATGTGAAAAAAAAAAAATTACATGCTTGATTGTTGTAGCATTGTCACAATAGCAAAATTATACAAGTCAACACCAGTGGCAGTAAAATTTCACTTTACTCTCATTCAATTCTGATACCATTCTTTTTAAGAATGAAGCTGGACGTAAAATGGACTTCTGTCATGGAGAACTCGTTTTGGACTTGGAAGGAGGGAAGATTTTTAGTGTGTCGCAACACCAGAACAATCCCAATCTCAACTTCCTGACCATAGAAAGCAGAAGAGTAGAGCTGTACCATAAAGGTGAGCTGTTAAACCATTAAAATGACATCTAACCTCTTATACTCCTGTAGTTTTTTGCATAGGAAAAAGTTATTATCCTGTTCTGAATTGCAAAATGTTTTTTTATTTTATTTTGCTCTTTATATAGCCGAGGTCCCAGACTCTCCAATTCCTGTGAAACTGGAAATGCCCAGGTTCACTTCCCCAGGTCATCTGGACCCTACCATTTACCCCACAGAGGTGGGGGTGAGCAGTGTTGGTGGCCGAGAAACCGACGTTCAGATGCTGTCGACTGCCATCAAGATCACATTAGATCTTGAGAGGAATGTGAAGGTTTGTGTGTTATTTCATCTGCTTGTCGCCTGTCAGTTGGGTTAATTATGGGATGGTGGTTATTTGTTTGTCATTTATAAGTATTAATCTAATTTTCTTTGTAGGAGTTTCTGGTCGCGCTGCGACTCCATGGTGCTACTTTACGACATCACATGGCGTTGACCAATCATAGCTGGCATGAGCAGGTACCTGTTGGTAACTAGATTAGATATGAACTTTAAATAGGAGTGCGGATCTGTCATGAATGTCTGGCTAATGTGTATATTTAATAATATATGTTTCTGTATTTCTATATAGCTTTAATCTATTTTTATTTCAGTTTTAGTCATTTCAACTGAAACTTATTTCAATTAGTTGCCATGGCAAGTTTTTTAAGTTTTTCATCTAATATTTAGATTTATTGTTTTGTTTTTATTTTATATTTTTTATTAATTTTATTTTGTAATGTTTTTAGTTTTAGTTCAAAATAACTTGGCTTCAGTTATGTCTTCTTATCATCAGTAGTAATTACTTATTTCTATTTTTTTGCATCATCAATGTTATTTTAGTATCATTGAGATGCTATTATAGGTTTATTAATATGTTAATTTGTTTTTATTTTTATGTTTTCCATTTTCATTTTAACTCTGTTTTACAAATTTTTTTGAATGTTTTTGTCATTTTTAGTTTTAGTTTTGTTTTTTTGTTTTGTTTATTCATTTTTATTCCAGTTTTAGATATTTTAGTACATCAAGTTAAACTAAATTAAAATGAGAGATGTTGCTACTACGTTGCAGCTAGCTGAAATAAAATTAAGTGTTATATTTCTATATTTGATCTTATTTCAGTCAACCATTATTTTAATTCAAATAACTAAAAAAAATGTTAATGGTTTTATTTTCAGTTAACTATAACAACACTGTTCTCTATACAGATTGTTGATTTCCTTGATGTCATTGATGACGACATTTTAGGCTACACTCCACCTGCCGTCATCACAGTTCTTCACACTCACCTGGCCACCTGTGCAGTGGACTACAGGTATTGTAGTAACACTGAATGTTTGGTCTCACAAATACTCTTAGTTCATTCAGTCAACTTTCTTGTTCATTTCTCCCTCCAGGCCGCTTTATCTTCCTCTGCGAGTTTTGTTTACAGCTGAGTCCTTTTCTTTATCCAGCAATATGTTCATCAACAATAACTTGCACTGAGAGAAAAAAACAACACACATACATAAATACACCCATACATATATGTTCTATCAATTACAGAGAGTGAAATGCAGAGGAATTAAGAGCATGAACAGTCCTACAATAAGTGCTGTTCAGAAAACATGTAGACTTCTGCCTGAAGGTAGAGGTGTGAAGAGGCGTCTGGCTGGATGTAAGGGATCTTTCAGGGTTGTTAGACCTTTTTTCTGCAAACGTGAGACATAAATCTCATCAATAGTGGGAAGATCACAACCAATAATTTTCAAAGCAGCCCGTATTATGTTACTAATCTGACTTCTCTGCTGAGCTGTGGAACTATCAGACTGCACTATAATTGAGAAAGTCAGCACTCTTTCAATCACAGCTCTATAAAAATTGAACATACCAACTTTAGATACTGTTATTAGACCAATCAATGTGAAACCCAATCATTAGTGTACACAGAGTGCAGTAATGGTGACAGTAGAGTTGAACCCCCAATTGCTTCCACTTATCAAAAAGTTTAACTAGAATGATTGCATTAAATGCAGATTTGTAGTCCACAAAGAGGGCCCTGACATTGGTATCGGGGGCTTCAAGACACAGAGCCACAGCATCATCAACCGACCTGTTAGCCTTATAGACGAATTGGTAAGAATCCAGACAGATTGTAGTAATTAAATTCCTAAGTACCAATCGCTCAAAGATTTCGATAACAACTGAAGTTAGCAATCTAAGCAGCTAATATTCAGCTTTTTTAGCACTGGAATAATAACAGCTCCTTTAAATAATGCTGGGACTCTGCATACTCTTAATGACCAGTTGAATATATCAGTGAATACTGGGGCAAGAATGTACGTACTCCACGTTAACATTGCAGATTATATGGAGTCAGGGCCTGCTGCCTTCCTGCTGTTCTGCTTCCACAGCAGATTCCTGACTTCATATTCCTCTATTTTAAAGGAAGGAGTACTGGGTCAAGAGGGCAGCTTCGGCTGACCTACCTGTTCCTACCGTTGTATTATCAAATAAACTATAGAAAGCGTTAAGTTCATCAGGCAATGTGATGTCACTTTCATCTTACAGAGGTAACCACCTCTGTGTACTCATCCAAATCATAGCATGACTCTTTAAATGCAGACCAATCAGTAGCCTCTAAACCAGGGTTCCTCAAATCTTACCCTGGAGGGCCAATGCGCTGCAGAGTTTAGCTCCAACCCTGATCAAACTCACCTACCTGTGATTTTCTAATGATCCTGAAGACACTGATTAGTATACTCAGGTGTGTTTGATTAGGGTTAGCGCTAAACTCTGCAGGAAAGTGGATCTCGTGGGCCAGATTTGAGGATCCCTGCTCTAAACAGGCCATTAACATTTCTATTTAATCAACAGACCATTCCTTGACATTTCTCTTGATTGGTGTAGTTTCTCTTGATAGTATAGCTTCTTTCTCCCATTTGTATTCAGCTCTAAAATAATCTGTCTTTTAGCTGTCAGAAAGTCCTGCCTCCCTTCCGCCCTGCCCACCAGCAGAGACAGCAGAGATTAACCAATGTGACCTCACAGATGCCTTGATTGACACAGAGAGAATCCTACAGGAAGAGACCCAAGATTCTGGTAAGACTTTGGAAGTTGTTTATATATACAAGGCATATCTATAACAACAAAACATGTAGAAGTTTTATTTTATGACTAATCTTTTATACATTTGAAAATAGTTTGGGGTTGGTATCATTTTGAAAGAAGTCGCTGATGCTCACTAAGCAAGGCAAATGCATCTAAAATACAGTGAAATCGATAGTATTGTGAAATATTATTATAATTTAGAATAACTCTTTTCTGTCTGAATATAGTTTAAAATGTCATTTATTCCTGTGCTTCCAAAGTTGAATTTTCAGCATCATTACTCCAGTCTTCAGTGTCACATGATCCTTCAGAAATCCTTCTAATATGCTGATCTGCTGCTCAAGAAACATTTCTTATGTCAAAACAGTTGTGCTGCTTAATATGTTTGTGGAAACTGTGGTACAATTTTTCAGGGGTCTTTGAACAGAATTTGTTTGAAATAGAAAAAGTTTGTAACATTATAAATGTATGTACTGTCACTTTTGATCAGTTTAATGCATCCTTGCTGAATTAAAGTATAACCAAAAAGACACCAAACTTCAGTGTTATAGATTGATGGTTATTTACTTCTGTGTATTTGAAAAGCAGGTTCTCCCTCCATCCGTCGAGCCTCACCTGTCTCAGTCTATCTGTTCCCGGGAGAAGCCCCCAAGCTCCGCCCCTCTGTTCTAGAAGAGGAGGAGTCTGATATTGATGGACTGGTCAGCACAGCTATGGAAGCTCATGCAGATATGATGTCAGAGGAAGGATCAGAGGGTTCCACCGACAACGACGACTTCTGCATCCTAGAGGCTCCTGGGATGGGCATCCCAGTATGTACCCACAGTTTTCATATTCTTCTCCAGCTTTTTAAAACAAAAGTAAATTTCACAAATAATTATAAAGACACATGCAAGAAACACATTGAATTAAACATGAAATGTTGAAATCGAAAGACCAAAATAGCATTTTCTTATAAAACATATTCCAATAATCTGTTTTATTTATAACTTCGAAAAATACTTTTTTTTTTACAGTGCAATTTTTCTCTCTCTCTGACAGCCTAGAGATGGTGAGCCTGTGGTGACGTTCAACTTATTTTAGTTTGTTATTTTTATATATATATATACATATACACACACATAGTTTTATTACTGTTTTGATATAACTTTTTATAAAGTTTAGTATAACGGTTTAGTCACTTGTAGTTTTGCTGATTTTTAATTCGTTTTCTTTAATGTTTAGTTAAAAAAAAATTATTTCAGTTTTAGTTTAGTTTTTAGCTTAGTTTACGTTTTTCATCTGATATTTTATTTTATCAGCTTTTTTAAATTAACAAAAAAAGTATTTATTTAATAGTTTTTTATATGAATTGAAATGTATAATTGTAATTGTACACATTTATTTGAACTGTAATGGTGTATGGGCATTCATCGTCTTTATTTCTGATCTTCTGATCTTCTGCTCCCAGTGAGGACGGACGTTCCTCAGAAGGCTTCAGACGACACAGATCCTGGCTCCGGATTGGGCCATGATCTCAGTGCTTCTGTAGAAACAACCTATAGTGAGCAGAGTTCCTCCTCCGCTGGCTCCTCGTCCTCCTCTGACCAGCCCATCTACTTCAGGTAGAAGATCTGGCATCGCACCACATGACATTATCCAACATAACAAATGCATAAATCATAATTAATGTCCTTTCGCACTCTTTCTCTTTAAGAGAGTTTCGTTTTACGTCTGAAGTTCCCATCTGGCTGGACTATCACGGGAAGCACGTGGTAATTGAGCAGGTTGGCGATCACCTATATAAAATAACTGATGCTTTATGTTCATGTGGTCATAAAGTCATCTGTGTAGTTTGAGTGCTGAGCTTAAACACAGCAACAAAGATTTTCTGAATAAGATCAGGGGGTTGTTTTAGTCTAGCTGCTGTTATGCTAATGTATATAATCTCTGGTTTCCTAGGGAACGTTTGCAGGCATCCTGATTGGACTGGCCCAGCTGAACTGCTCTGAACTAAAGCTGAAGAGATTGTGCTGTAGACATGGGTAAACACCTTTTTGCCTGCTTTACCTTTAAATCCAGATCTGAAAAGTGAGTTGTTGTTGTTTTGTTTCAGGCTGCTGGGTGTTGATAAGGTGATTCAGTATGCTGTGAATGAGTGGCTTACAGACATCAGGAAGAACCAGCTGCCAGGAATTCTGGGAGGTGTTGGTCCTATGCATTCTGTCGTACAACTCAGTGAGTATGACGTGTCACTTCTTACTTATGTGCAGTGCTGGCTTTTCTGCTCAGGCTACTTAAAGAAAAGTACTGTATTCAGTAAAGTAAATTCAATAGAGTACTGTATTTTTATTCTTTGCAGTCCATGGTGTGCGTGATTTGTTCTGGATGCCGATAGAGCAGTACCGGAAGGATGGGCGTATTATCCGAGGCCTCCAGAGGGGGGCGGCATCGTTTGGCACCTCTACAGCCTCAGCTGCCTTAGAGCTCAGCAACAGACTAGTGCAGGCAATTCAGGTATATACACTCACACATATAACCATAATACATATATGTATATGTATAAAGCCTAAACTAATGTGTTTGTTACATTGTTGCTGATAGATTTTTTTAAATATTTATTTTATTTTTATATTATATTTTTGATACTTGTATATTTTAGTTTTTTATTAAATTTAGTATATTTTATTACATTTGAATTCTGTCTTTTAAATTATATATTATTTTATTTGTTGCTGGTTTACCATGTTACTAGATATTTTGTTTTTTTTTATCTATTGATTTTATTAAGACAAATATAATTTTGTATTATATTTTTATTTATCATATTTTGATATTTTTCTTTATCATGTTATTGTAAATTATTTTGTTTATTTTTTATTATGTAGAATTTTAATTATTTGTAAATGATTATTATATTTGTTACTGGTTTACCATGTTACTAGATATTTTTATTATTAACTTTTATTTTACATTATAAGTATATTATATTATATTGTATATTTTTCTTTTTTGTTATTTTAATTAATTTTATATTTATGTTTTTATTATATATATTGTTTATTTATTATATGTGACCCTGGAGCACAAAAGCAGTCTTAAGTCGCTGGGGTATATTTGTAGCAATAACCAAAAATACATTGTATGGGTCAAAAGTATTGATTTTTCTTTTATGCCAAAAATCATTAGGATATTAAGTAAAGATCATGTTTCATGAAGATATTTTGTAAAATTCCTACTGTAAATATATATAAAAAAAA